ACATGGTGGTATTTTAGATCTGTGCCAGTTTATAAGAAAATATCGTGTATATTGAGTAAATCTTCTACTTGGTTAAATTGTTTTTTCAGGTTTACTGTCATGTTCTTTTAGATTAATTTAGCAGAGTTTCTTCATATGAAAAATGATCAATGGCTTCAGTGTATAGGGCCTTCTTAAAGTAGTTCTTCACATTTTGTTTCATTAAATCTCAAACTTCTCTATTTCATTTGGATTTCTTGTGACAACACAAAATATATCGACTGATTTATAAGTGGAAGTAAAAATCCAACATGGTTTCCAAAGTGTTGCCAAAAGAAAATACTCTGATCCATCTGAATGAAGTCCATTGCAAGCATTTTCTTTTAGTAGTCCCAGTGCGTGCAACAGCATCATGAAGTGCAAGGAATGCAGCAGACTGGTCAGGGAGGAAATTAAAGTAATTAGGTCCCAAAAAATTATTCCCCAGATCTCGTTTTGATCCATCCTCTGAACATGGAAAAATTATGATTATCTTCACAGAGAACTGACTGTTCATCTGGGCGAGAGATGTTTTAGTCAGGCTGACAACAAATCAGATCTTAATGAGAGGGTAAGAACAAGGATGTCGCTGTTCAGGTGGGGCATAGAGAACTCATTTTTGAAGTTTTTTTTAGAAGCCATGGATAGATACAGCATATGAAGATGGTTCTCTGGTCAGACTGGAGAACCATCATCATGTGCTGTATCCATCTATTCTTTCTGATTCAGCTTGAGTCGTTGGTGAAAAAGATTTTTATCCAATTACAAATAAAGTTTTTGAAACTGCAACTAGACCTCCATCAACTAGAAAATAAGACATCACTGTGTATTACAGAAATAGTATTAAAAGTAAATGTATTTCTTGAGCTTGTTATGTCACCAAAAGCCAAAAGGTTCAAGGTGTAGAGGTACTTTACAAGGTGTAAAGTGGTATTAGCACTATAGTCCCCCTCCCCCACCTATTGCCCCATTCTACCAGTCAGTACTGCACTCCATCCTGATCTAAACAAAGAAACATTTACTTTTAAAATCTCCATTCTCTTTTAAAGCCCCTAAAGATAATGGTGTTTTTTATTTTTGTGCTGACCTATGTCATGCTTTTAATGTTCTTCTGTTATTCTTAGAAATGTCTTTTTTTTTTATCAGGATAGCAGCATTTCATTATGTTCATTAATTGATGTTATTTATTTATTCATCTATTTTCTAAGATGTTTTACACAGTCAGGTTATTAAACCTGAATTGGTGCTTTTTACCAGCAGGGGGAGTTGGGAGCAGTTTCTCAGCTGTGTGTTTTCCTGTCAGCAGAGCAGCTGTGGGACACCTGTCCCCTCAGACACAGCAGAAACATGCTGTTTGTGACAACATGTGGTGCAACAATCTAAATTAGTCCATGTAGGGATGTGGTGCTACCACAATGGGGATAAAATGAACCATAAAGGATGATTTTAAATCAATGATTTGATTATTAAAATGATGTGTTTATATGGGATTTTTTTTTTTTTTTTTTTTTACAGCTGATAGACAGTTAAATACCTATAAATGCATTATAAACAGCAGCCAATTCAATACCGAAAAGTAGAAAAACCCAACCAGCAGTCAGTGTACATTTATTCCCAATAATCCTATGTTAGTGGAATAATTGAGTGATTTTTGGTGTTTCACCTATTGGCAGTCCTAAAGATTCATACAAAGATGTCCGTGGATCCTCAAAAGTGAAGAAATTATCAATAAGACAATGATCTTACTTAAAAATACCCATATCTGCTCTCAGAGTAAACATCAAAAAGCCTGAGACCGTTGGAGGTGTGGTGGATGTGAGGGGATGACAAATCAAGTCTTTAACTGGATCCATGTGCTTAACTCAGAATTGGACTAAACCTCTCAGCTACAGAAGATCCACATGTAAAATCAAACAAAGGAAGGAAAATAGAGATGCTACGATGTAGTTTTTCCCGATACGATACCTGGGCTGAGCCTATTGGCCGATATCCCATACAGTCCGATTCAACTGTTGAACGAAAGAACTATATATTTTGCCTTGAGATGAGCATTTTAAAATAAAGGTTACACATTTACATGGTTATAAATATACTTTATATTATTTATTAACTGATTAGCAGCAAAGAGAAAGAAATAATAGTTCCATGCAATGTGGACTAACTTGGATATCCGATAGCAAATGCTAGTTGATCAACATCATGATGCATCTGTGATGCTGTGGGATTTCCTTTCCTATGTCAGGACTTATGACATCATGAACTCTTTGAGCTATTAGTGTGTTTTCAGTTTGATGATAATGAAAAAATGTATCATTTTAACGTTTTTGCGCATCTCAAACAGGTTCCAGTCAGTTTAGGCTTAATCCAAGCCTGCATGTTCTAACAGTTGTTTACCTCTCAGTGTCATTTCCTTCCCTCTCCCTTTCAGGGTCTACATTGGAAAGAGGTTGACCACGCCGCCGGCCAGCTCCTTCTGAACTTGAAGAAAAGTGCCTGAGAAGTTGCCACGAGCCGTTTATGGAGGAAGTTTTGCTGTTGTGAGAAGATTGCCCGTCTCCCATCCCTCTTACTTTCCTGCCTGCCTCCCCTCCCCTCCCCTCCCCTTCTCTTCCACTCTGAGACATGACTTTGCTTTTTGTTTTTTTTAACGCCGTCTTTGCCATATTTCCTCCCTGAATTTTAGCTTCCCTCTAGCTGTTTGTAGTCTTCACTCATTGGAGCGTTTAAAGACTGATCTAAGGTCATGTCCCCCCCTATTAATAGGTCTATAAGTTTATAAAGGGTGGGTTTACTAGGAGGGTTGCAGCATTAACTAAACTCCTGTTTCTCCACATGTGAATATTTCAAAACGGAGACTGACCAGAGATTGTGCCACATGCGTGAATTTGCCCAGCGCTCAATCACGACCAAATTTAGACTGAAAAGCACACTGAAAGTGTGATCATGCCTTTTTTCTTTTATATATATATATTTTTTTCCTGAAAGTGGCCATTTTGTTTCTTCTTTAGCTAATATTGCCTATTTTATTTATTTTGGAACCAGTAGTTGTTTATAAAAAGGTTTTGACAGCAGCCAATTCAAACGTGACCTTTTCATTCGGACCAGTTCTGAAAGAAGAAGCAGGAAGATTTGGCGCCTGGGAAGCGAAGCGCGTGCTGCTCTGACACGAACTGGAAACCGGTCTGGGTCGCTTATCTGTCCAACTCTTGACGTTCAGTCTTGCTCAACTTTTTTAATTGACTTTCTCCTGAAAGATTTTCAGTAAGAAAAAATGTAACCAAGAAATTAACTTTTCTATTAGGAGTTTCCTCTATGATATATGTATTGTTTTAGAGATGCTTTTGTTTAAGGAAAGCTCCACTCCTGCACTCCAGTGTGTGTCATAAACAGTGAAATACTCCATGAACCTGCAGATGAAGAATGTGACTGTGCAAACGTGAAAAAGCACAAAGTGATGGTGCCGGCATTATGCTTCGACAGAAACGCAGCAGCAGGTAGGCAGGCTTCAATAACCTGAAGCTCAGCCCCAAACTGTAGAGCTTCAATAGTAAAAAAAACAAAAACAAACTTTGGCCTCAGTGAGGTTGAACAGATGACGCCGTGATTTGGTCTTTGCTGCAGCAGCATCTGAAATCAGATAAAACTGGGTTTCCCTAGAGCTACAGATACATCTCAGCAAATCAGAAAGTCATAAATATATCACTCATTTCTCAGAGAGTGATTTATTTTGAGTGTTTAAATCTGTGAATTTGGATGATTATGAAATCTTCAAAATAAATGGAAACTGATGTGCTAATTTTCCAGGGTTAGAAACATGTTTTTTTTTTTAAAGACTCTATTCCTTATTAGTTTCCCTAAACCATAAACATCTGAATGTATGAAACATAAGGGCTGTTAACTTTTGTTTATATTTATATTATGTTTTACCTTTTTAAACCTCACCATACCTTCAGTATTTGTCCAAATCTAATAACATTTGTGAATTAAGTCAGTGAAAGAACCCAGATACCGATTCAAAAACTCAGCATTTACTCATATTCAACCTCAAGGACCTGTTCGGATCATTTTGAACCCTGTGGTTCTAAGCATTAAAACCACTTATAATATTTTAGAAACCATATTAAGTTATCAGATCAGAAACCTGAAAAAAAAAAAATCTTTGTGGTAAAATGTCTAGAATGTCAGAAATGCCTAGACATGTGACACTCGGGAAAACTATGGGACCTTTAAGAGGATTTTTAAGTTAGACCGCTGATCTCAGCCTTGTCTTCAGAGTTTTAGACTTGATTCCAAATTAAATGAAAAATGCACTTTCATCTAAACGATCCACTCTTTTTCAGGAGGTTTTAAAACCCAGTGATTCAACAGTCCTGTATATGTCTGTGTTTGGCGGCTCATTAAGTTCTGACTCCAGCTGCTCTTTAAAAGTATTTTCTTCAGGAAACATGTGAGCTGTTTCTATTTCACTTCCTCCTTTCATTAAATTTTCCTTTAATATTTTTTGTATTACACCCCTCTGTCAGCAATTATTCTCTTTATTTTTTTTCTTGGCTTATAAAGGATGTTGATCAACATCCTTTATAAGCCAAGAAAATCATTCTCCACCTTATCTCCACTAAATATATTTTATTGGTCTCACTATAAATATTTCGAAGGACTGAATAATGGTTTTTCCATGAACTTTAGGAAATAATCATCCAAAATGACAGAAATTTTATTTTTAATGATACTTTGATTAGCTGAGATGCACCTGTTGTTTGCAGTGTGGGTTTACCCTATAGCGTTAGCAGATGCGTTCTATTTTAGGAGGAAATTGATTGAAAATATGAATCTTTTTTGCACTTGTTGGACCGAAACAAATCAAAAACGTTCCCCCGTTCCTTTACCAAAAAGATCTCTGTGTTTGATCTCATGATACAAGAAAAGATATTAAAAAAACTTAGCATGCCTCTTTCATTAAACACTTAACAACCAGCAGACGCTAACCTCACGTTATTTTCGTTTTCAGCCCCCAGTGCTTGTGGTTGTGTTTGTTCCTGCTGCATTCAAACCGTAAATTTTGTATTCTTTCCCATTATTTGTTTTAAGTCGTTTTTTTTTTCCTGCTGTCATTGAGATTGTGAACGCACACATTGGGAATCAAGCTTGAAACGTATATGTTTAGAAAGTGGGAAAACTGTGATGAAACTGGTTTTTGTTGATGGCAGGGACTGATGGATGAAAAAGAAAAGCGTGGAGAGAGATTTTCTCCTTTAGACTGGGATGGTCCGAAAGTACTTCTTGTATCAATGCATTTGCTTTCATTTTTTTTTTCCTGCTACATGAAGACATTGATAAACATTTTGTCAATAAAGATGACCTGAGTGAAATCATTCTTTTGACCTGGTTCTGGTTGTTTTCCTTTTGTGGATGAGTGTTTCCTTTTTTGCCAATATAGCTCTAGGAATCGATCTTGCAGAACTAGATAATAGGCCAAAAAAATTTGCATTCACAAGCAGACCATTATGGTTGTTGCCTTTTAGGGTTCTGCTTCGTACTTATATACGAAACTGCATAACCACTTTCACTGAGGTTATGGTTTTAGTTGAGTGTGTCTGTCAATCTGTGTGCAGCATAACTTAAAATTATTAAAAAGATTTGAATAAAATTTTTACCAAAGGTCCACCTTAATCTAAGGAACAATCCATAAAGTTTTTGGTGATGATCACGTCATAATCTGGATGCAGGAATTATTTTAAAGGATTCTTTAACGTGACAAGCAGTTCTCCTCTAAACCAGAAGGAGCTTCAGCATCAGACTTCAAAAGGTCAAACACTCAATCTGCTGATCAAAAAAGAAAGAGTGAATAAAGAGGGTGAGAGCAGAACAAACACCACAGGCTGCAGACACACGCTGTGCCTTATTTACAAACCTATGAAAGGATTTTATGGAAATTGTTACCAAAGGTACACCTCATGCAAAGGAACATTCATTAAAATTTGGTAATGATCCAGATCATGTGCAATTTTAGCTACAGGTGTAAGTCACATTATGGGGCAAAATTGTGCTTTGTGAGGGTCTGCACTCAATGAGTGCTTTTGTAGTTTAAATTGTCTTAGGGAGTGAGATCGTAAAACCACGGATACGGAAAGGAGGCTGAAAAATAAAGGGTGGATAAGAACTAAGGGGAGAGAGAAAAAAAGGGACAGGAAATAAAACAAGATATACAGCAAGTCCTAGAAGTCTGCTTTCACACCCGCATGAGACAGAGAGAAAGAAAACAGAGAAGAGAACAACAAAAAGAAGATGACAGACAATCAAAGTAAACGTCAAGAAAAGTTTCCAGAGCAGCAGGTATCCCTTAAATATACAGTTAGTATATGTGTGTGGAAAGCAAAACCTATGGTGATTACATAACATTACTCAGGGTGGTCTATATCAGGGGTTTTCAAAGTGGGTGCCGCGGCACCTAGGGGTACCGCGAGGTCACTACAGGGGTGCCGCAGGATTTTTTCATAGATTGATGAGAGTTTTATATTGAATGCACATTTTTACATTTTAACAACTTTGCAAATTTATTTTGATGTAAGCAAATATATTCTAAGAGGGGCTTCATTTTATGTTTTTCTTACTACTTTGAAAAAATGACAGAAAAATAATTATCAAATAATGTCAAATAATCATTATCAGTTTAGGGGTACCACGGCTGGGTGGAAAAATGTGTAGGGGTACCTTGAGCCAAAAAAGTTTGGGAACCACTGGTCTATATCTGTAGCTGGAACTTAGTATTTAGTATTGGGGTCTATCCGTGAACACTTGGAACCAAATTCCAAAACAAAAAAATTAAAAACAATTCACTGGACTTTTTTTTCCAAGTTTGAAGACATTTCGCTTCTCATCCCAGAAGCTTTTTCCATTCAAAATGTCAGGAATAGCGTTGAGTTCCAGGTTTTATACAGCAGCCTTGTTGGGCTACTGTATAAAACCTATTCCTGACATTTTGAATGTGAGGAGCTTTAACAGCTGAGCTCTTTTGTCCATCTGGTAAATGATCAATTGAAAAATAAATATGATTTACGTGTCTGTTTCAATGAGCAGCTGTCCCGCTCATCATGCCCTGCCTTAGGCAAAGGTTGTGATACAGAAGTAAATGAGATCTGAGATGCCCAAAAAAAAAGCTTCTAAAGAATTTCCCAATAGTTCAGTGAATATTGTCTTTTAAAGAAGTTTTTTTTTTTACAGAAACTAAAAACATAAAATTTCACATTTTTAGAGATATGCTAAATAATAATAGTGGTGTATCTTAATAAATCATTACATTGTCAAAGGATTTATTTCACGAGGTCAACTCTGAAAGTGGAACATTTTCACAATTTATTATTAGATTTTGATGTCTTTGTCTTATTGTTGTTTAATCTATATTCCCGGGTAATATAAAATATTTGGTCCTTATTGGATGTAGAACAAAAACAATTAAATTGACTCAAAGCTTTAAAAAAATAAGACTGTGGGTTCAGGGAATCTTAAAACTTACTAATTACTATAGTGAGTTTTTCTCTCTAGTAATGGGATGTACATGTAGTATCCCAGTGGAGTTGTTTATCTTCATTATGCTACGTTATGCTGTTAACATCAGTTTGTTCTGGATGTGTAGCAGCTTGATATCAGATCCTGAAGACTTCACATCAATCTAAGTGCTGATATGGGAAATTTGAAACTGCTCAGTAAAGTTCCTTCTGTCAAAACACAGAAAACAACAGTAAAGCCTCATTTAAGAGGGAAACACTGCACTCCAGTGGCAGATCTACTAATATCCTTTATTCAAAAGTGATTATATGTTTTCCATAATCCTGTCAAAATTAGGAAAATTAAAATATGAAAATAATTCTGCATGTTTTAAGACAGAATAAAGAGAACAGAGATATGGAAAATTCCTTGGCATGTAAAAAAAAAAAAAAAAAAGATGCATGAGCTAGTAATTACTGTGTAATGACATTACAGGGTCATCAAGTGTGTTTAGCACCGATAGGGCCTAATATTAAACCAAATCTTTCAGGGTATCATTTGAAAATAGAACCTTTGAGAACAAAGCTTCCTCCACTCCCTCTCAACGCTCCCTACATGGAATGTCAGAACACCTGTTATCAACCAATCCAATGCTTAAAGACTCCCAGCTCCTCCCACTGCAGCTGATGGCGTTACTATGGGTTACAGGGTGGTGGCCAGCTCCATCTCTTTGGTGAGGAGACCCTGTGTTTCAGTCTTAACAAACACATGGAAACAGAAAAAGGCAAGGTGGAATGATTTTTAGATTTGTCAATTTATGCAATGTATAACTAAAAGGTTTTTTTTTATGAAGGAGCAACAGTGTGTTCTGATTTTCCTTTTTCTCCTTGAATTTTTTTTATAGTTACCAAAAGATTTTTTTTATAGAGTCTTGCAAATGTATTAATACCCCTTAAATATTCTCTCAACTATAAAAGCCTCTAGCAAATGTTGTGGTATTGCTAAGCACATATAGTTATAACTCCATTACTCTTTTCCATGTCCTTGCTGTGTGAAGGAATTCC